CAGAAATATGCCGATTCAAATTACCACCTGAAAAAACATCCAGTACTCCTGTGAACTTATATTAACTGTGTCAAACTAGAATTCGAAGTCTCTTTTGTTCATGTGAAATATAAATAATCGAACTGACAAGAAAACATGTGATGATTTAGTTACACACTAAACAATATTATGTTCCTCAGTATCCATGCTAAACATGCATGCATTCTAGACAGAAATGAGAAATGAAGAACATTGACAATTGCCTAGAGAATTCCAGTTCGAACATGTGAATGATGCAAACCAGGTGGATGTTGAACAGTAGATGAATGAGGTTGCTTTTCGGTAACTATCCCATCAGCCTATAGGATGTATTTTTACTTGTGTAATCCCCGCGTAGTATAGTATATTAAAACAAATAACAAAATAAACAAACAAATATTTTTTATTTGTTCTAATACACTACGCCGGGCTTACACAAGCAAAACTACATCCTATACAATGAATCATACTAACTCGGTGCCCAAGTTTTTTCAAACCATCCAGTCCATTGTTGGCCAGGACACCTTCAAATCCCATCAAGGAATGAAAGTTTATCACATGGCGAATGTTACAAGTATACCACATTTGTCTAATTACACTGCTTCCAGACTATTCATATCTCCCTCAGTAAATGTGAAATGTAAAATCAACTGCCATCTTTCTTCCCATCCCAGTCAACTCACTCAAAACTATGAGTAATTTGCATTCCTCTGAATTCTATGCATTCGACAACATCGCTGACAGATTTGTGTGACAATAACACAACTCCCAGAGTTGAGCGTCTTGTGGCTAGAAAAGTGTGTTCGTTTGGATAACATTTTGTGGTAGGAAAGGAATTCCGATATGAACAAGTTAGGTTCGACAGGAAAGCAGATTTCATGAAATAGAAGAATGAAGTGAGGTTCGACTTTTGTGTTACCATATTTTTATCAACCATCTCATCGTCAATGTGATTGATGCCCACTGATGACAAGTGAAAGGCGAATGAGAGAGGAGTGAGTGATATTTGTCGATTATCCAAGGAAACATGCTCATCAGATTACCTAGCGACTTTCGTTTCTAACCAACACACTTCTGTGAGTGGATGTTTGTTGTCCACCTCATCTGTGTTCATATGGATGCTGGAAATCTTGTGAGCTTGATGATGTCCATCAACATGCTGCACACATCAGTGCATCACACTGGCATTAGGAATGACTGCCAACTCCGACAACATCTTGTTCGCTTGAAATAGTCTCACATGATTCCTCCAAGTAATTTCCCACAATCAAGCTGAAGAAACGCGATGACACGACACCTTGCTGACTACTGCATAGCTCTCTATGATAAGAGATGACAGAATAGATGTTCGATGATTGCTGCCAATCGATGAGTGGCATCTCATATGAAATACAACGAAATGATCGGATTTCTTCATCGCGACTGGCATTGTAACATTGTGAAGTGAATGAATTTTGCAAGTGAAGAGGTTGAGATGGGAGCTGACTGTATTGACTTGACAATCGATGTGCAAGCGTCAAATGTATACTGCTCAAACATGTTGTCACTTAGTGAAGTGTCAATGGAATGGTTTGCCCAGTGATTACAGTCACTTCAACTACATTTTCCGTGTGTGTCTATGTGCGTGTGTGTGTGTGTTTGGTGTGTGATACTGTTGATGAATGTGTTCAGTTTTACTTGATTACCACTCCGTGATTTCATTTCATATCCACTTTTGTAGTGCGTGTTGTCACAATTGTGTTCAGTGTAGTCGGTGCTACAATCGTAGTCACTGGAATCGCTGTGATAATCTACATGAAATTGCGACGTGGACGGGATTGAAGTATGAAATCGATGAAATTCATATGAAGATTCGGAGAGATGCTGAATTCTTCATTTTTCATAAACACTTCCACATCTCTTTGTATTCTCAGTAACTTCAACTTTGCTTGATTTCCTTGTATTTCTTTGATATTTTCCACTCTCCATATGCACGTTTTACAAACACAAATCTCGTCTTCTTACAATTTTGCTGTTAACTTACAGAAGGTATAGTTGACTCGTGAAGCGACGAATGTAAACAAGCAGTTCATTCTGGGGTGAGTGATCAGTGTGTTACCTGGGACTGTGAGTGACTGCTCAGTTGTCTCCCTCATCTGTCTGAAATTTAAATGATTAATGTTGTTTGCGACAGACTGATATCCGATATCTTAGTGTTTCTCGAATGTTCTCATTCCCAGATTTCTTGCGAGCAGAGGAGATGAGAAGCATGTCGGAATTTCACTCAGTATATCAAACACGTGGCAATACTACTCGTTGTGTAGGCATTAGAAGTTGGTTTGGAAAATAAATGAGATCAGTGATGATGATTGTTGTGCGAATGTGAATGAGCGTGGAGAAATGAAAGAGAATGAGTGGCGTGTAGGATGTGGTGAACATAGTCCCCTAGAATATATCAATATGAAATGACTGATTGATAGATGAAGTCATCAAAACTATGACCTACTTCGTATTAGTCATCGTCGAAGTAGTTTTCAATGTCACATGGTGTGGTATATCACTTTACGTTTGACAAACATCAGACGCATATAGAATATTCAGATTACGAGATGCCATTGCTTACCAAATTCTTCATTTCAATTCTCCTCGTAGTGAAAAGTGGTCAAAGTATGTGTCAGTAGGGCATAAACAACTTGTAGGGATGCGTGTTACAATTCCGTAACGTTTGATCAACCCTACTTAATTTGATGTGCTCTAGTACCTGCTTAACCAGTACTTTACCTAACGTGTAAGTACTGGTAACAAAACACAAATCAAAAGAACTGATACGCAATGTATTTAAAGGAGCTATGTATTTAAGGTAAATGTAATAATAATGAATGAGGGAAAAGTTTAATCAACTTATCTGGCTTGTAAGGCTGAACTAGGGACTCGGAGTACGTGCGTGGTAATCAGCACAATGGAGCGCAAAAATGGCGTCCAAGCCTGCTCGGATGCATGCTCGTTAAAACAAAACTTAAAACACCCTAAGCATCCGGAGGCAAGCTAGAGATTTATTTAGTTAATTTAATTTAAACTATTTATTTTAGCCCTAGTTATATTTTGGTGCCAGGAAGGTGCACTACAGGTTATCCCCCTCCTAGAAGGTTGTTGGGATACCGGCAACCTTCGATCCTAGGAGGCGACTGCGAGGCGGACACGCAACACCTTTCCATATTGGTGATGGAGTAGGTGACGTGTGGGTCTCCGAAGCTAGTGCAACTATGCACACCTACGAGGTAAGAGAACTTTGCGTCTAGACGCAACCCTTCTCGCAGTGGTGGAAGGTGACCCAAAGCCTCCGTCTACTTTTCCCTATTGCTTCTTAATCTACGGGGGGGTGTACAGGGGGAAATTGGTACAAAGAGAACCGAAGAACGATCCAAGTAGCATCGTCAGCGGCCAATTGTATCCAATTTTCAACGCATTTTCTAGGTTCTGCAAGAAGAAAGAAATGGGACATTAGAGTGCTAAGAAAAGGAAAACCAAACAATTCGAAGTGGGAGGAGTACAGAAAAAAAATAATAACCAACCAAAAAAAGTTTCGGAATTTAAATTGTATTTTTGGTTTTTCTTTTTTTTAAAAAAAACTGTTTGCAAAGTAGTAAACAAGACTTTGAAAACTTTAGATATGAAAACGCATTGAAAGTGTATGCCACGACAAAGTAGTTGAAACTCCGAATTCACCAAGTGTGAAGTTGCTCTGGGGCTAATTAACGAAATCGGCGTATCGCTTGGGCCAATGTACACGCCTCCCAGCACGTGTAGAGGGTACTGGATCAGTGTTACTAGACGTGGCTCTTTTAGAAGGTTCAGGATACGCGCGACTAAACGAGTCTGTTAGGGAGTCCGGCGGCAAGGGTTTTTCTAGTTGTGTCGGTGTAGAGGAAGGCGGGTCGTCCTCTATATAAGCTGCCTTCAAACGATCGACACTTATAGAATCCTGCCGTCCAGATCTGTCAATGACGAAAAACTTTTCTTTCCTACTGAGAACCTTGAAGGGTCCGTCGTATGGTGGCTGTAAGGGTTATACAGTCATTTTTCAACGCACAAAGACGTGAGTGCAATCTTGGAGTCTTTTATCCAGCTGCACCCGTCTACACTGTATCCGTGTGGATGAGGGTTGGAGGCGACGCATGTGTAACTTAAGAGTTTGAGCATAGCCATGGATATCGGTAGGAGTTGGGTCACTGCAGTCTGAAGCGACCATCTCACCCGGCAAACGTAAGTTACTACCGTAAACTAACTCAGCAGGTGTACACTGTATATCAGTCTTGAGTGTAGAACGGATGCTGAGAAGAACCAACGGCAGAGACTCAGTCCATTTCATATTGTCGACTGCCATTAGTGCGCTCTTAAGGTGTCGGTGGAATCGCTCGACCAAACCATTGGAAGCTGGATGATATGCGGTAGTGCGGATGCGTTTGCATCCCAACAGATTCATCAGCTTCTGGAAGGTAGCGGATTCGAACTGTTGGCCTCTGTCGGTTGTCACGGTGGAAGGGCATCCAAACTGTGAAACCCATCCTTCGACGAAAACCCGACTTACTGTTTCGGCAGTAATGTTAGACAGTGGGATGGCTAACGGCCAGCGAGTAAACCTATCGACACATGTCAGTAGGTAACTATATCCATCGGAGGGTGGAAGTGGGCCGACAATGTCTAAGTGGACATGAGCGAATCGTGAGTCAGGTTTGGCGAAAGTTCCAAGTGGTGGGATGTTGTGACGATTCACCTTGGAACGTTGGCACTGAATACATGACCGTGTCCAGTTTCGAACATCACGGTTAATACCAGGCCAAACAAACCTAGCAGATATGAGCTTGTCAGTGGCGCGGATGCCAGGATGTGAAAGATTGTGCAAAGCATCAAAAACATGCTTACGCAAGGATAAAGGAACAACCGGTCTGGGTGTGCCTGTGGAGGTGTCGCACAATATTGACACTTCACTGTTCAGGAGCGGTAACGCTGTATCTTCAGAGAGGATGAGTGTTGAAGTTTTTCAATCTCCTCGTCTGAATCCTGAAGTTCGGCAATCTTCCGTAAGTCGACTGCTCGAGGCAAAGTAGTGGTGCAAACGCGAGACAGTGCGTCCGCGACAGGGTTATTCACACCAGAAATATGACGGATGTCCGACGTGAATTGCGAAATATAATCTAGGTGACGTAATTCACGCGGTGAATATCTGTCAGTAGTGGTGTGTAAGGCATACGTCAGAGGTTTATGGTCGGTAAAGATGATGAAGTCACGACCTTCCACAAAATGACGAAAATGTTTCACTGAGGCATATATGGCGAGCAGTTCCCTGCCGAAAGTGCTGTACCGCATTTCGCAGGTGGATAACTTCCGAGAGAAGAATGCAACTGGGATCCAAGTGTGATCCGAAAGTTGTTGCAACACAGCTCCAATGGCCGTGTTAGAGGCGTCAACCGCAATGCTAAGAGGTAGGTTTACGTCTTGATGCACCAGCATCGTGGCGTCTGCTATTGCGGTTTTGATCTTGCGAAATGCTTCTAGTGCCTCAGGAGTCAAGCTGAAAGTTTTACATTTACTTTTCAGCAGGTCGGTCAGTGCAGTCAAAATGTGTGCACATTGGGGAACGAAGCGACGATAATAGCTCACCATACCCAGAAACACACGCAGAGCTTTAAGTGACGCTGGGACTGGGAAGTCTTGGATCGCCTGTACCTTTTCAGGTAGTGGGCGAATGCCTTGCTCGTCGATAACGTGTCCCAAAAATTTTAGTGAACGAACGCCAATTGGCATTTGGCCAGGTTGACTGTCATCGAATGCTCTGACAGTCTGGCGAAAACCTGTTTCAAGTGGTTAAAATGAGTGTCTTCGTCTGGACTAGCGATTAGTATATCGTCTAGGTAGGCATAGGCGAAATCGAGTCCACGTAAAACATCGTGAATAAAACGTTGGAAGGTTTGTGCTGCATTGCGAAGACCAAAAGGCATACGGAGGAACTCAAAAAGACCAAACGGTGTAATGACGGCTGTCTTGGGAACATCATCAGGATGAACCGGGATCTGATGATATGCACGCGTCAAGTCAAGCTTACTGAAGATAACCGAGCCTTTTAAAGATGCAGTCAAGTCGTGAATGTGAGGGACTGGGTAACGATCTGGAATCGTTTTAGCGTTGAGCCTTCGGTAGTCACCACAAGGCCTCCAGTCCATGCCATTGTTCTTGGGTACCACATGCAAGGGTGAAGACCATGGACTGTTGGATGGTCTGATTATTCCCATTTCAAGCATGTGTTCGAACTCGGCTTTTACAGCACGCAGTTTCTCCGGGGATAATCGCCGTGGTTTCGCAAACACTGGCGGGCCAGTCGTCGTTATGTGATGAGAAACGTTCGAAGTCACACAAGGGACACAACGACTTGGCTTAAAGACATCCGGAAAGGACTGAATGATAGACGCGTAGGGACTAGAAGCGTCCGTCGTGCAGTACACGGGACTGAGGGGCGGCGTCTTTGTGACTATACCGGAAACAGAGAGTGTTGTGGTAGAATCTATCAACTTATGCTTGCCAGCATCTACCAGCAGCTGATAGTGCTGCAAGAGATCCATACCAATAATGCCGGTGGTCACATCTGCCACTATGAAAACCCAACGAAAGGGACGACGCAATCCAAGGTTGAGATCGAGGAATCTCCGACCATAGGTTGTGATGGGCGAACCGTTGGCGGCACGAAGTTGCAGAGACATTGGCCGCAGACGCTCTTCCTTCGTAGGTGGGATGACGCTAGCTTCTGCCCCAGTGTCAACTAGGAAGCGTATCCCAGAATGTCGATCAGTGACGAAGAAGAGGCGACATGGAAGTGGCTCGCCAGCGACGTTAGTCGCCGTCACGTGCTGGCTCACACGTTTCCCGCCTGGTTAGCCTCGAAGGTGCAAGGTCGAGTGCACCTTTTGGCATTGGCACCATAACGTTTATGGTACCAGCACAACCTGGGTTGGGATTGTCGCGATTTGGAACGTCTGCTACCGGTACGGGAGGCAGACCTGTTGCGCGAGCGAGACGTGCGACCGTTGGAAGAACTACCAGACCGCATTTCGTTCCTGATGCTGCACAACTCTCATACAATTTTGAGATGTGAGCTATAACATCGAAACTTGTTGGCTCAACAGCCGAGGGAGGGTTTTTGAACGAATCCGTGGCAGTAGACAGTGCAGCTGAGATACTAGTGTTGGGTTTCGTAGCATCCACAGCTCTGTCAGCCGCTTCCGCCAACTCTATTAAGGGACACTTATGGAAGGGTGCGAGGATCCCTTGAACCGACTGTGGTAACCTCTGTAACCACAGTTGCTTGAGAAATGCTTCATCAATGTTGAAGTCAGCAATCAGCTGCTTCATCTGACGAAGCAGTTGCGTCGGCTTGCGATCACCCAGATGCACATCCCTGAAAAGTTCTTGCACTTTCTGCTGGTCAGTAAGTGCAACACGTTTGATGAGGGCGGTTTTGAGGCGATCGTAAAGATTCGGTGCTGGGTCATCTAGCACATCTGAGACGTCTTCAATCACATTTTCCGGTAAGCTGACGATGACTAAGTTGGACTTAGTTTCTTGTGATTGAATGTGTCTCAAGGCAAACTGAGCTTCCACATGGGAGAACCATGCAGATGGTCTGTGGGCCCAGAAGGTGGGAAGCTGGAGGGTTATGGCCATCTGCGCAGTCGAGTCGTTATCCGCCATTGATCAGGGAATTAACGAGGCACGATAGTGATAATAAAAAAAATTACAATGCAAAAATAACCAATGAGGAGTGCAATAATAAAAAAACGCTAGACGTGCCAAAAACAAAATAGGCCAGACAAATCAACGCAAGAGAACAAAGGTACTAGACAAAGTAAGAAGTGATACTCGGGCTCACCAATTTTGTAGGGATGCGTGTTACAATTCCGTAACGTTTGATCAACCCTACTTAATTTGATGTGCTCTAGTACCTGCTTAACCAGTACTTTACCTAACGTGTAAGTACTGATAACAAAACACAAATCAAAAGAACTGATACGCAATGTATTTAAAGGAGCTATGTATTTAAGGTAAATGTAATAATAATGAATGAGGGAAAAGTTTAATCAACTTATCTGGCTTGTAAGGCTGAACTAGGGACTCGGAGTACGTGCGTGGTAATCAGCACAATGGAGCGCAAAAATGGCGTCCAAGCCTGCTCGGATGCATGCTCGTTAAAACAAAACTTAAAACACCCTAAGCATCCGGAGGCAAGCTAGAGATTTATTTAGTTAATTTAATTTAAACTATTTATTTTAGCCCTAGTTATATTTTGGTGCCAGGAAGGTGCACTACAAACTCCTGATAGGTAAGGGGTGGATGTAAGTGGATTTTTCAGTTTATCGGTGACAAAGATGATGGAATTGGTGAGGGTGTAAGGGTTGGTGAACACGGGTCACAGTAGTGCGTTCAGCTGACGCGTGTATAGAATCTCTCCTTCTCCTGAATCAAGTGAAGGAGATAGCATTCAATTGTGTCATCCTGTTCACTGCAGTCTGTTCTGCGAAGTAGGAAGATATGCACTCAGTCGATGTAGTTCAATCCTATTTTCAGATTAATTATTCTCAGTGTTGATCAGTATGGGATCTACATATGGACGGCTTCTAATTGAGCCTACTGAATGAAAACAGATTACACATCAGGCCATGCACTCCAAGTGACAGAGAAGTCCTCTAATTCGAGCGTATCAACCAGTAGATCATTGATCGGACAGTGTCGATTGCCAGGCTTAGGTTCAGCTGTATCTCCATCCGTTACTCAGCTAGTGTCATGCCTTCTCTCACCGTGGTTGAACAGCAGCACTCAGGCATTTCAGCACTTACTGACTGCGTGTTCAGCAGATAGTTGACTAGGTGAGTGAGTCAGTCGGTGACTTCCTCCGAAGACCTGTCCTCCAACCAGGATAGAATAGTGCAAGCTTCATCGTTTCCGGTCTTCATCCGTAGCTGCCGATGTAGTCATCAATGCAAGATGGAACCCATCACACTACTTCAGTGAGCGTATAGTGGTGAGGAAATAAAGCTTTCTTATAAGTGTCCGCAATGTTTCTGTGAGACATGACAACTTGAAATGATCCACCTTTCTACGTTGATTCACCGGTCTGCATGTGTTCAATAAATTCTGTTCACTTCAACTTCGCCACTCTTTTGTATTGATGATCATTCCTCGCTCGCCTACTTCAGTCTCTTCAATTTCCTTTATGAACTGATTTCGATTAGTCGAGTTATTTGAGTGTTTGTGGAATGAACTTCCGATAATTTTTGTGCAGTCTGTAGATTGTATTGGCTGGTTTGGCTTTAACTACTCCTGTTCCCTAATTGTCATCGTTTCAACCATTTCTTGACTGAAACGCTACAGTTGAAAACTGATATTTTCCCTACATTTCTTCATACTATCCCTAGAAATAATCCTCAATATATTTATGTTGAGCGTTAAAGAGATTCTGTGTGTGTGTGTGTGTGTGTGTGTTACTTTCAGTCTTGTCTGGATATCGCTGTTGCCAATTTAACAAAGCTTTTCTTCTACCAGTTGTAAATTTGATGTCTATCACCTCAACATTAGTCATAAAAAAGTGATTTACTAATAATGGACAGAATGGAGTAAGCATTACCACACCGAGAACATCATGATAAAATTCTTGTAATTCAGACTTGATAGGATTGATTCTTTCGCAGAAACTGCTTCCGTTCAAATATTGATTAGGGTGGAGATCAGCATACTGACGAGTAGCATCTTGAGCTCCAAAATCAGGAACATCTGTGAATAAACAAGCCACATCAAAGACTGTGTTATGATTAATAATCTAACTCCACAATAAATCACCACTCAGTTTCAACCGAAGTCTACAAATCCACCGATCACAGATAATGCACAATGTAATGGTGCATAACTATTCGGCTTGAGTTTTTGAACTGACTCAGCTTCGACTGCTCACAAGCGTCGAATCATCATCATATTTGAATGGCTTGGTCGAACTTTGTCACAAAGCTTAATGGTGAAACAAGTTGACAAGAAACAGTTTCAAATATTTTTGATAGAGTGAATTACTGAACCTGAAGTGTTGTCATCTGGAGAAATCGAGACGTGTGAAAGGGTGAGTAAAGAGAATGCAAAGAGATGTAGAATATCTGTGTAATGCCACGGTGAAGAAAGTGTTTATACACACCTCCTTTGAATATTCACTAGAAGTTGGAATCATTGAATTGCCAAAGCTTCGACTGAACACAAGTGTCCAGTCCTCATCATTTTCGAATGATTTGTTTGAACTTTGTAAATAACTTTTAACGAGGCTTCCAGAGAAGCCAGATGTCCACAGTCTTCAAGCTTTCCAACAACAACAGAGCTAGACACGGCTTTGTTTTTGACCTTCAACAAACACACTGGTTAATGTTCGCAAGGCAAGCATATTCTTCAAATGAGTGCATATTAGGTTGATGTAGTCAGCTGCATAGAAACAAGTTAACTTGTAGATGAACAATGATGAAGTGCAGTGCGTCATCTCTTGTCTTTCATGTATCAAGGAATCACTTGTTGATGTGGGGAGATAATACAGAGGTTTGGAATATAGGATTTCCCACCTAACGACAAGAGGTTTTGTAGAATCTCAACAGTAGTGTCAGAGAGAATCTGAAGTTGAAGAGAAGTATTTGCTTTAGAGTTGATTGAAACTAAATCCACATATTAAGCAAACGAATAACTGTTACAATTCAATTCACCTACGAGGTAGGAAATGAACAAGGAGAAATACTCATGTTCGATTGTAGGATGAAATGAAGGAGAGGATGTCATTTGGATACTAGCGTCTACAGGACACAAATACATTCTAACCGGTATCTAGACATCAAGTAATCTCGTCGAATGTCAGTTAGATGGAATTTAGTTGAATATGTAAATGATGAAGCTAAGAAGCTGACAAGTCACTGCAAGGAACTAAACAAGGGATTGAAGCACATGAACGAAGTATATTGGTGGCAAGGGAAAAGTGTTTGCGTAGAGACATGTGTCGGTCGACACTCTCACCAAATACGCTCATCAGATTCGCCTACAACATTGATTTGCGAGTAACAGTGTTCTGTGCGCAGACATTTACAAGGATCATCTATCCTCACATGTATGCAGGAATTCTGGTCAGTGGGATGATGCCGTCCACATGCTACACACATCTCTACATCAGACTAAAATCGCACAAATGAATGTCTTCTCCGACGACATCTTGACATTGCTTCAATGATACTTGATGCTTGGTTGATACATCCCTTTTATCAGAATCAGAATGAAGCCTCCAATCTTCGTAGTGACACGAAATCAAGCAGAGAGTGATTTCAGTGTCTGATGATCACTGCCAAACACTGAGTCGCATCTCACACAAACTGCAACCAAATGATCGAGTTACTTGATCACCACCAGCATAATATGGTAAGGTGAGTGAATTTACAAACAGAGGAGGAACACACATAAAAATGTCCGGCTTCCTCGAAAATGGATATGAAAGCTGCAAATGTACATTGCTGTGACATGTTCTTACTGACTGAATTGTCAGTGGAATGGTTGCAGTGGCAGTTACATTTGTTTGACTGTAATGATGACATGAAGATAGTAATGGGTGACAGCGAATCATGCAAAGAAAGCCAATCTCATGTGAATAGATGATGCAGACTAACTGCCTAAATAATTTGAGTAGTGATTCGAAAGAGAGGTGACAGTGTGCAGGATGTAGGATGCATTCAGAAACCTATTCAACTACATCCCATGGCCAAGAAGGTGACGAATATCTCCAATATTTACTCACCATTACGTGTTACTCAACTCATGGGAATGGTTGGGCTGCAAATTATCGCTTTCATCAACATATTGTGTAGGTGGAAGTCATATGCTCAGTTAGAAAAACAGAGTGAGTATACGAGAACAATAAGTAGGTGAGAATAGGTATCTCTATCGCTCAATCAACTCTCACCAAGTGAACAG